AGCGCCGCATAGCACCGCATAGCACCGCATAGCACCGCATAGCCCCGCATAGCCCCGCATAGCCCTGCATAGCGCCGCATAGCCCCACATATTGAGAGATGGGGTGCTAAGAAACAAATAACAGGAGAGCAACCACTGGATTTGGGGAAAACATATTCCAAGGGGGTATCACTGCATGGTCGGTTTCAAATGCTTTTCATTTTCCATACTTTCCATTGAACTTGGGAACAAATCCCAAGTGACAATGACGAAGATTTTTTGAAAGAGAAGAAACATGAAGAAACCGCCTTGTCTCTGAATCTTGGTGCTTTGGAGTTGGCAAGTGATGCATTTTTTATTTTTCGGTCACAGATGGTGAATGGATTTGGCACTAAGCAACGCTTTGGCGCACTTGTCTGCCCAGTCTTGTACCGAATCGAGTTCAGACACCACTCCAGTCGGGAATAAGCGGTATTGGGTGTAGAAAGCCAAAATTGCCCGTTTGAGCGTCACTATGCTTAGGCGCGGGTTGCCTTGAGACCCCCGAATGACTGCTAGCAGCGCCTAGCAATGGGGAATCTTTGACTTACAAACACTAACTCACTGCGGTAGTTTGAAGCAGCTTACTATTTGAAACACATATCAAAATACAAATTGGAATTTTGACCCTTCCCATCCTCTCGGTTCACAATCACGTCCTTTATCGTGACCATTTTTCGTGTGTGGACTTTCCCACTATGGTCGACAACCAAAGTCATCCCAACCTGAGATGCACTGATATAAAGTTTCAAGGGCTATCCAAAAAAATGATAGGATGGTTATAGGGGTCTGTCCAGGAGAAATGATATAATATAAATGTAGCAATAAACATTCCAAGGAACTTCCCTTAGAGGTATTGCCGCGGCAAATGCCTCTAGAAAAGGTTGATGGGCATCCGTTTCACCTTCGTTTTCATCTTCGGATGACGAACTCATGGCCACCGCCCCAAAAATGTGCCTAGTATCGGGCATGGTTTGAATGGAAAATTTAGCAGAATGACGGGCTACCAGACAATTCACCGGAACCCTTCCCTATCCGCAGAAAATTTCCGCACTGCACAGCCAGGCGGATGGTGGCGCACTTGATCGGCTGACCGCCATGCCGGCCTAGCGCAGCAGTCCGGCTTCATGGATATGAAGGCCCTTTATATGTATTCATGGGAACTACTGGCTGGGCCACGGGTAAATTTGAGCATGGAACTTGGGGGTGCAATGTGTATTGTAGTATTTGCTGCTTCTTATTGCTTATCTACTTGCATCTTCATTCTTCTGGATCTTTTTCTCCAGGCAGGCACAACCTTGCCCCTACTCTAACGGAGCTAGATTTCAAAAAAAATCGCCATATGTGGGGCCGCAGAGGTGATAGCAGCAAAAATCCATGACTGGACAACTGCCCAGCCTGTTCCGTTCACCAGACATGCCGATGAGTGGGCACCACCTGCGGAGCAATGGTTGCCTTTCAGAATTTTGAATGGTGATGCCCTATGTTCCGACAGAACCCATGGATCAATTCACCTATAGGGCAAACTACAACCGTTTACTAAGATTAGCGACATAGCTCGCGTCCACCCCAGCGGGCGGCCTGCGTGAATTCATACGTGCCCATGTCAGCGGCATAATACAACGCATGAGCTCCTGAACCTGCACATATAAATATGCATTAGACAGGAATATATAGGTTGAGTGTATACCTGTATATAGATATGTAAAAATTAATCTTTATATATAGACTAATTTCAAACCTTTCACTCATATCATGCTGGGATTTCTTGACAAAGTTCTTGAATACTACTATGGGAACCGCACCATATATCAAACATATATAACGATTATGTTTTTCGCGACTTGGGATGCCAAAATTGCACTTTCAAAACCGTGTCTCACCGTGCAGTTTACAGCGCGTGGGAATTCACGCCATGTGCGGTTTTTGGAAAAATGGCCTGCGGGAACGGCGACAAAAGTTCAAAGTTGACATTAATCTGAAGTATATTTATCCGTTGTGACAACGAAATGTTGATCCGGATTTGCTCTAAACCGAGGTTTTGCCACCCCAGACGATCAATACTTGCCAGTTTTAGATACGAAAGGGATTTCCCCACAGCAACGTTGGTCACGGCAAAGCAAGGGATGCATATCTATATCTATGATATAAAATAATTTGGCCCATATCCAAATCCATATTACCATGGAATATATTGTGATGATGATGGAAAGCCACCCGCAAAAATTCATATAATCACTGTATAAGTTATAAGTATATATATATATATAGTTGTCCGAGTTATTGTTGCAAAAGGTTTGGGGCCAAACCTTTTGCAAAACTAGCCTTTTTGCCAGATACGCTTGTCTTGAGCCATGCATGCGCAGCACGCGTGAATTAAGCAGCTGCCGTTTTCACAATGACCATTTTACAGCCAAAATCATTTTCACAACCATATCCATGTTCACGATCCCGTTTTCACGACCAATTCCGTTTTTACGACCCCGGTTTCACGACCAAATCCGTTTTCACAACCCCATTTTCACGGCCAACTGTTTTTTTTGAAGCCAAACGCCTTTCCTAAGGCCAAATGGCCATTTGGCCTTGGGCATCGTTTTTTGCGATCAAACGCATCCCAAGGAACACCATCGCCCCGCATAGCCCCGCATAGCACCGCATAGCCCCGCATAGCCCCGCATAGCCCCGCATAGCCCCGCATAGCGCTACGCAGCGCTACGCAGCACTACGCAGCCCACACGCAGCGCTACGCAGCGCTATGCAGCGCTACGCAGCACTACGCAGCCCACACGCAGCGTTACGCAGCCCTACGCAGCACTACGCAGCCCACACGCAGCGCTACGCAGCCCTACGCAGCGCTACGCAGCGCTACGCAGCACTACGCAGCCCACACGCAGCGCTACGCAGCGCTACGCAGCGCTACGCAGCACTACGCAGCCCACACGCAGCGCTACGCAGCACTACGCAGCCCACACGCAGCTACGCAGCACTACGCAGCACTACGCAGCACTACGCAGCCCACACGCAGCCCTACGCAGCCCTATACGCAGCCCACACGCAGCGCTACGCAGCGCTACGCAGCCCACACTCAGCGCTACGCAGCCCTACGCAGCACTACGCAGCCCACACGCAGCGCTACGCAGCACTACGCAGCACTACGCAGCACTACGCAGCCCACACGCAGCCCTACGCAGCCCACACGCAGCGCTACGCAGCGCTACGCAGCCCACACTCAGCGCTACGCAGCCCTACGCAGCACTACGCAGCCCACACGCAGCGCTACGCAGCGCTACGCAGCGCTACGCAGCCCTCAAAAATTTCGACCCCCCCTGTCGCCAACACTGTATATATATATATATATGCTAGCATTCTGCTGTGGAGACCCCACACTTAGAACATCCCATATTGAACTGCGCTTGATTATTGATTAAACTACGCTTTAGTGCTGGCGTACATGGGGATTCCAGATGTCCTTCGGGTCAAGTTCACATCTCAAAGATTTCTGATTCAAATCAGTAGATCAACCGTTCCACATTGGATTCAAAATTCGGCTGCCAGTTCAATATATATATATATATAGAGTAAATATATGTATATATGCTAGCATTCTGCTGTGGAGACCCACACTTAGAACATCCCATATTGAATTGCGATTGAATATTGATTCAGGTACGCTTTAGTGTTAATGTACATGGTGATTCCAAATGTGCTTCGAATTCATTTTACACCCTGAAGATTTCTGAGTCAAATCAGCAGATTACCCGTTCCACATTGGATTCAAAATTCGGCTGACAGTTTGACATATATATATATATGCTAGCATTCTGCTGTGGAGACCCCACACGTAGAACATCCCATATTGAACTGCGCTTGATTATTGATTAAACTACGCTTTAGTGCTGGCGTGCATGGGGATTCCAAATGTCCTTCGGGTCAAGTTCACATCTCAAAGATTTCTGAATCAGATCAGTAGATTGACCGTTCCACATTGGATTCAAAATTTCCTCTGGCCTCTGGCAGTTAGTTATATATATATATATATGCTAGCATTCTGCTGTGGAGACCCCAGACTTAGAACATCCCACATAAGGCTTACCTACACCATCCCAGCATTTGACGGTATCTACTTGGTTGCCAGTGTCGACAGATCTGCAGGAAGCGTACTTTATCCCAAGGCCCCAAAACAAGGCTTTGGCCGCAGTCAAAAATCAAAACCGATATATATATATATATATACATATATTCATATGATTTCATTTTTCATGTAAATTATCGAACAATATAAATGTACATATGAAAATCATTATAGTGACGGACAATCACCTAGAACATCAATGTTTCCAAATTGTCCAATCTCTCACTTTAGAACCGCCGTCTGGTGAGTTTCCCACGCATAGACGAATCCGCAGAACTGCTTGGGAAGATCAACAGAGATGTGTATATATAAGGTGCGCAAGAATTGCCAACAAAGGCATCAATATTAGCTTGACATGATCGCTATGCAACCGGCACTTGGGAAAATCTGCTGAGATGTGTACATATCAAGTTTGCAAGCATTGCCAATCAAAGGCATCCAAAGCATCGTGAATTGCAAGCGATTTGATCCAACAAAAGTGACATGTGTGCAGAGTTGATGATGGGATAATGCATGATAATGTTCAAAAATTATCAGTAGCTTGCAAAGACCGCACACTTAGAACATCAGGGGCAATGTTGCTCAGATGTTCTAAGTGGGGTGTTCTAACTGTGGTGCGAAATCCTTAAACAGGCGGTTCTAAGTGTGAGATCTGAAAATTTGGAAAAATTTTATGTTCTAAGTGTATGTCCTGCACTATATATTGTTTAAAATGTAGATAATTCTTTATTTATTAGCCCAGTTACAAAACAACTTGGGAATACCATGGAATACCCACCGGAAATAAAACGTGGCAATTGAACAGCCTTTCCCGGCCAACCTCCATGAAGTTCGGGGTCCAGAAGCTCAGGACATGCTCCATTCGGAACGGCGCCTGCAGATGTGGCGCGCAATCCGAGTTCGATGCCATGGGTCGGAGCCTGAAAGATGGAGACGATCACGGAAAGTCATTCTGTGAAAAAAATACACCAGTTGATTGGTTTTCCCCTCCAGTCATTTGTGACATGGAGACTGGCTTGTTTTGGGATGCTTTACCTACTAAAAAAGGTTGAATTCATTAGCTTATTATATGTTAGTTTACCAGGGTTATTCTCGGTTTATTGCGGATCCTTGCAGCTCATAGTATAGATTATTGACTCGCACTTTCGTGTCTCTTCCTTTCCCGACCCCCTTCATCCGCAAGTTTCTGAATTATAATGCTTTGGGGAAAATAGTAGCAGATTGCAAGTTCAGGAAATTGATATAAATGTGCGATGTTTTGGGAAAGCTGTTGAAACTCTTTTGTTTTTGTTCCATTGCTTCCCGGATTTGATTTTAGACTTATTTGAGATGAATTGCAAAAAATACTTATTGAACATGTTTCCCTCCATATGTATATATATATATACACGTATATACAGCTTTAGATTACTATGTAGTACCGGTAATTAGAAAGCAGGAGTATCTTCAAACCATCCTACGGAGCAGAAGTTTCTGTGAAGAAAACCCGTTCAGCGTCGGCACTGGTGGTCAATGTTAAGGATATCTTGGTACTAAGAGGTTCATGATGATGTTTGTGGTGTGATGATGATGATGAGGAGGAGGAGGAGGATGATGATGCTGATGCTGATGCTGATGCTGATGCTCTCTGGGGTGCACAATCCTTTGCTGACATGCTCCAGCCTCCTGATCGTTTACGATCCATGGCGCTGTGGGTCAACCGTGGAGTAGCCAGATTACCTGTGGCAGCTGTGAGCAAGCACTTCCAAGAATATCTCAACAGCGCTAAACATCAACATATAAAAGACGTATTGTATTTTGGAGGATCTTCCATTTACTTCACGTCTAAAATCCTAGCTCCTGGCGTTTCAAAAGTCGGTCGAAAGGGAACATTTGCAGGAATCGTCCAGTTTTGACGGTAAAAACCATGGTTTCCACTTGACAATATTGCAGCTGGACAGGCTGGCTCGTTGTTGTTTGCTAACGTAGTGAGGGATTAGGGAGTCTGGGGGGAGGCCTAGCCAAACAGGTTGCCTTTTCCAGTCTCAGTTGGTGTTTTTGGGTGGGTTTTGGAACGTGTTGCAGGGTAATGTACCCCCTTTCTCGTTTTTTTTAGCCAACTCAGTCCGTTGATGGGTCATTTCTTAGCTGGGCCTACCTGGGATGAACCACCGTGCAAGTTGTCTTGTCGCCATGAGGCTACAAATATCAGGCGGACACCATGCCCAGTTTCTACGAAGTGGAGGAGAGCAAAGTCCATGAGACAGGCTTCGACAACCGGGCGGATGCTCAGCTTTTTTTGAAGCCAAGGCGGCCAGCAAAACCCCTTCCGCCCTGGGCCCTTAGAATCTCAATGCTGAACACTTTCTGAAATCGTCATAAATCGGTTTGACAGCTGTATGCATCTGTCCTTTTAATTGGAAATCCATGGAAGGCGCTAAGCTGATAGGCCTTTCAAAGCTCCCAAATTCAGAGCCATCAATGTGAGCAAATCAAGAAAGAATGCGTTGTAGGTGAAGAAGGATCTCGACTTGCTTCAAGCAT